AGCAATAAAAAAAAATAAAATTTCACCATTTGTGACAACATGGATGGACCTAGAGGGTATTATACTGAATGAAGTAAGTCAGAGAAAGACAAATACAATTATGATCTCACTTATATGAGGAACCTAAAAAATAAAACAATGAATAAACAAAACAAAACAGAAATCTATCATCATTTATCACATACCTGGCATGAGTTAGTGCTGGGCATACAGTGATACATAAGCTTGGTCCATGTCCTTAATGGAGACATAACTACCAGAAATGTAGCTGCCACATGGTGAGATACCGGCAGCAAAAGAAGATCCTGAAGCAGCACAGAGGAGAGTGGTTATCTTCAGCAAGGTCCTAGAAGGTGGACAGGAGAGTCAACATGTGCAGAGTTTTCAGTGGACAAAGTTAACTTTTTTAGTGGCCAGAGGCACTGGAATGGTGACAACAGTCATGATTGCTGGGGTGAGAGGTGGAAGGTGAGGAGGGTCAGCAGGTGGGGGAGGGAAGGGTGCAGCAGTGCCAGGAGCTGGGGAGGCAGGAAGCAGCCACATCAGAGAGGCCCTTTCAAGTCTGCTGAGGAGCTGGGATTCTGTAGAGCTTGTGGGAGAAGCTTACACTTGGGTATCAGATGGACCCAGGTTTGAGTCCTCCTCTGCCACTTACTGTGTAATTTAGGCAAGATCCTTCTGCTTCATAAGTCTCACTTTCCTCAACTGTGAAAAGGGGGTTAAGAGTAGTAGTTCCTTGCCTTTTGACCCAGTGATCCTACTTCTGGGAGTATATCTGAAGAAACCTGAAACACTAACTCAAAAGAATGCATGCATCCCTATGTCCATGGCAGTGTTATTCACAATAGCCACGCCTGGAAACAGTCCAAGTGCCAATAGTAGATGAGTGGATAAATATGCTGTGGTACATTTACACAATGGAATACTGAGCTCCTCTAAAAAAAAAAGAAGAAAATCTTACCTTTCGTGACAGCATGAATGTACCTGTACACTATTATGCTCAGAAAAATAAGCCAGAGAAAGACACTATATGATCTCACTTATATGTGGATTTAATCAACAAAATAATCTAACAAACAAAATAGAAACAGAAGCACAGATACATAGAACAAACAGATAACTGTCAGAGGGGAGGGGGTTGGGAGCTGGGTGAAAAAAGGTGAAGGGTTTAAGCAAAAAATATGTATATATGACACACAGTATGGTGATAGTCAGGGGAAAGGGGTTGGGGGAGGTGGAAGTGGGCAAAGGATGCGTCAATGGAGATGGAAAGAAGACTTGACTTTGGGTGGTAAGTACACTGCAGATGATGTTTTATTGAACCGTACACTTGAAGCCTGTATGGTTTTATTAACAAATGTCACCCCAATCCATTCAATTAAGAAAGAAAAGATAATAGTAGTTCCTCATAAAATTGTCATGAGAATTAAATTTAGTGAATGTATGAGAATTATTAATTCAGTCAATGGCACATAGTATGTTATTAAACCATTGTTACTATCATCACTCTTAATATTACTAGGATAGACTATTCTTTCAAGAAGCTAAGTGAGAAGGGAAGTAGAGAAGGCCTAAGAGTGATTGGAAGATTATGTGTGTACATGAACTAAGGATAAAGAGCACTGGCTACTAAGAGGTATTTTTGCCAGCCCACTTCTGTGCTTGGATTCAGATAGTTAACATTGACTGCCCTAACAAACAAACCCTAAAATCTCAGTGACTTAACTTTATAAAAAAGAGGTTTCTTTCTCATTTATAGTCCAAGGCAGGTTGGAATGGCTCTCTTACATGGTTCTCTCACTGGGGGTCTCAGAGACCTGGGTTCTTCTGTCTTGTAGTCTCACCACATGGCCCACATGGCCTGCAAGGCTACTGGAACAGGGGGAAAGACAGAAGAGGCACATGGTCTGGTAATTACCTCATCCTAGACGTAACACATGTCAATGCCCCTCACATTGAACTGACCCCAACCCCCCACTGAACCCCAAAGTAGGCTGGGAAGTGAGGAAGAGAGCAAGGACACTTGGTGAGCACTGACAGTTTTCGGCCCCACCTTCCTCAGGGTAGATACTGACATTGGTCACCAGCCGGAGAATTCTTTCTCCCTTGAGCCATGCTAGGGTGATGCTGGCACATGCCCTCAAGTCCAGGCACACTTCCTCCCTTTGGTTTTGGCAATGGAGCCCTGGGCATCTTGCCATAAACTGGACCAGACTGCTCAGAATATTTGTTATACTTAGATCTCCATTGTGTTGTAAGTACATTTGACTTTGGGAATTTAAGTTGATTTAATGGTGAAATGAAGATAATTTGCTTAGTATTTCTTAAATAAATTATTTTGTTTTTGATACTAGAACAGCCTTCCTCCTTTTCTTCTCTAGTTTTTTTAAAAGATAACTGATTTATAAATATATTACATGCTTATACTAGAAAGTTCAAAAATATTAAAAACTAGGAAAAAAAACCTTATTCACGATTCTGTTTCCCAGTCACTGTGTGTGGAGAACACTGAATCTGGCCACACCCTGCATGCAGTAGAAAGCACCAAGCGCAGTAATGGATCTAAAAAGTCTTGCAATAACTCACTTGCTTAACTGTTTAACCCATCATGAAACCCACTCTTACACATTTCGCCTACATGATAGGTAATAATTTCCCCAAAATCAATGTTGCAGGGCAAAAGAGACCCAACGTAACAGGTAACACATTTGCAAATCCTTGAGTAGGGTGCTTTTCTCCGTCTTACGTGGCTGAGCCCTGGTGTCAGAGGGCTGTTTCACCTAGACTTACTGGCCAAGGGGGTCGCCAGGGCCCGTGGTCACACAGTAAGCTGATGTTGGAGGCAGGTGCAATGCGAAATGAGAAGGCCTCCTCCAAGGCTGTAGACACCTTTTGATCTGCCCACACATCCGTTGCCTCTGAAACCTGGATGTGTCACTTCTGTCTCCTCATAACCTGAAAGAGAGGTGAGCCAAGGTCGAGGGTTGTGAGGAATTCCTGATTCATCCAGCTAGTCAACCCCTCATGGGAAGATAAGAAAAGGTCATCTTACCTGTTCCCTAACGCTAGGCAGAAGTGGTGTGGTCCCAGATGGGTGGGTGTCTCAGCTTCTTAGGAAGTTTTCAGAAAAAAAGGGACTTCAGAGGCTCCTGTAGACAACCAATCCTATGTACGTGTAAGTTTTTCTTGTTTCAGTTTTAATCCTCTTCTTACTTTTCTGTTATCAATGACCAGAGTTAATGAACTCTTTCTTGTGCTTGTAGCAAAAAAATAAAAATAAAAACCTGGCCAAAATGATGGGTCAAAGGAAAAAAAATCTCATGAAATAATGGAAAGCATAACCCTGAGCTTCCTGAAAGCCCTACTGGTCACCTGGGCTTATTGACACTGTCCCTCCCCCCTTCAGAGGGAATGGACTATAGCATCTCTTCTTAGGCAGCAGAGAGAGCCCATCCTTTTCTCCACAAAGGACACCCAGACTCCCTTATCTGCTCATCTGTGGCTAGTGTCATCTCCATCACTCACCAATGACCCAAAGCCTTATCCCCCGTGGGGTAAACACCTTGGTTGTTATTATGCTTTGTGATGGTTCAGTGGAGGCTGTGTCAGCCACTTACCCCCAGGCACATTCTACCTCTGTCCCCCCTGCCCCCCCTCCCCCTGCCAAGAGGACCTCACAGGAAGCCCCGGCTCTAGGATACAACAGAAGGCAGAGCAATGAGCCTTGTCCTAAGCAGCAGTCTGTTTCACATTCATCCTGCATGTCCCTGGTGCCAACGCCTGGGCTGAGCACAGGAGGAGCAGGCGAGGGAAGGATGAATCTAGAGGGACCTGTTGATCTGATGTGGGAAGTGGGACACACGTAGGACTCAGACGGAAAAGTAGAATGATGAAGTAGAACCCCACCCGGGGTGTTTCTAAGAAAAGAATGGAAGGCAACCTACTGATAAATTGGAGAAAAAGAGACTGGATTAGATCAAAGAAAAATACTCCTGGGGTTATGTGGAATGAAGTTCTAGAATACGTTTTTTAATCTCAGATCAGAAGAGTCTTCCTCAGCCCTTCTTGGCTTTGTTTCTAATAGGTGGTCACACATTGGTCCAGAATCAGAGACACCAGTAAATATCCTGATCAGAGGTTCCTTGGATTGGATAAATATTCTTCTTCTGTTATTAAAGAAACCGCCCCCCCCCAAAAAAAAACCACACCTTAGGAAAGACCATTTTCCTAAGCTTTCCCTTGCCATCACCCCAGGCCATCTTCTTTTAGCCTTCCCAGCAAGTAACCCCCTTACTCTTATTCCAGAAATGCTTTTCTAAAGAAACATTTCAGTCCTAGCCCAAAGTCACCCCCTAGCATTGGGACCAGGGCTCTCAGTGACCTTAGCTCTGTCACTGTGTCCTGCTTCCTCCAACAGGCTGAGAGTTCCTCGTGGATAGGCCAGAAGGCTCAACTCTCTCATCTTCCTTCCAGTACTCAGGAGAGAGCTATCCTCATCCAGAAGCCTAAGGAAGCAGCAGGGGATAGGCTACTGAAGACTCTGGAATATTCATGCTCCTGAAGCTGAACCAGCCTGGACATTTGCTTCTCTGTACCTCTCTCTTCCCCCACACACCCAGAGAGACCAGACCCACTGGAAGCGTCCACGTGAGATCTCGGCAGTGATAACCCCAGTAATTGGAGGGCAGCAAGCAGAGATAAGGCAACCAAATTATTATAATGCAGGAGGTAAGCAAAACAAATTCAGGGTTCTGGGCCAGTTTATAGGAGACTTATGGGGAGTTCCGGGAGGAAGAGACAAAAATCTCAGAGAGAGGATGGTAATTTCCTAAATGAAGAACCTAAGAGGCCCCATGTGGCCTAAATGAAGTTTCAGAACTACAAATTAGACTGACTCCAGCCCACCAGGCCCACACTATTTAAGGGGTGAGCAAGAGCAGAAGGTCCAGCTGCCCTCTGCTCCTTCTCTATCTCCTGCAACAGCGTGCATCCTTGCCACCATGAGCCGCCAGCTGCACCCTTTCCCTGGTGGGGAACGCCTGGGCTTCAGTGGCTGCTCAGCAGTCATCTCAGGCCGGGTCAGCAGCAGTTCCACCTCGTTCAGGGCTGGCATCAAGGGCACGGCCGCCTTTGGGAGCAGAAGCCTCTTGAGCTTAGGTGGTGGCCGACGCCTGGCTCTGAGTGCCTCAGCCGGGAGAGGAGGTGCCTTTGCTCTGGGCCACTACACGGGCACTGGTGGCCGTATGGGGGGCTTCGTGGGCACTGTCTTTGGCAACACTGGGCTGGGGCCTGTATGTCCATCTGTGTGCCCACCAGGTGGCATCCCTCAGGTCACCGTCAACAAGAGCCTCCTGGCCCCCCTCAATGTGGAGCTGGACCCCGAGATCCAGAAAGTGCGTGCCCAGGAGCGGGAGCAGATCAAGGCGCTGAACAACAAGTTCGCCTCCTTCATTGACAAGGTGGGTATGCAGCATGTCCCTGCATTGGTAACCACTGTACACAGGGACTCTTGCTCTGCTGCTAACAGCTGCGTGGGAATTTGGGAGAGTTAGTTATCCCTCTGAGCCTCTCTTTCTTTGTCTGTGAAATGGGCACAAGAGTGGCTCTTACCCTGTAGGCTTGTAATGAGGATGAGTTGGATGTGTATAAGGTGTTTAGAACAGTGCCAGGCATACACTCCCCATGAACCAAAGCTTCATTCCTTCTTTGCAAGAGAAGCCTTGGGAAGGGGTTGGTGTCTGGGGCAGGATATGCATGTGATGGCCCCTCTGAGGGCTCTCAATGTCAGACTAGGAGGTAGGGACACACATGCAGGGCAGGGGAACCAGTGGGACCCAGGCCAGTGGGTGTCACAGGACATGATGCTTGGTGAATAGGGAAGAACTTGGAAGGAAAGAAGTAGGATAAAATTGTAAGCCAAGATGGTTTCTAGAGAAGGCATTCAAAAAGGCCCAGAAAATTGGAAGGTGAGCCTGAAGGGAGAAGATTCAGAAGGAGGACATGTCAAGTTACATGTGTGTATGTGTTGTTGTGTATATGTGTGGAGAGTACCTACAAATTGGGGTAGCAAGGAAGATATCTCTGGAGATTTTGAGATAGTGACTCCAATGAATGGGGAGGAAATAAGAAATGGGCTTCTCTTTTCTCCACCTGGAGCATAAGGTCTAGATCATGAGTGATAGGGGACGTAATACTAACAATAGCTGACATTCCTCAGTGGCTGGTGCTGTCCCAAGTGCTCCTCATTTATCAATGTGCAACCCATGATTCTGTTATCATTCTGCCATACAGATGAGGAAACTAAGACAGAGGGAGGCTAAGAAATGTGCCCCAATTGAAAGAATAGTTCAGAACCTACCTACCTCTGGGTCCCTCACTGCTATGCTCAGGAAGAAGAAAGGAGGGGTTGGAGGGGAGAAGACAAGAGTAGAAGAAACAGGGCCACTGTCCCAAAGGACAGGCATCATTTTCTTCCTCTACTTAAGTCTGTTCTTCCCTAGCATATTTCCTTCTCGCCCTCAAGCTACAGAGGTAAGTGAGAAGGGGAATGCTGTGAGTAGTAGTCTGGGTTTATTTAGTTCAAAAATGTGAAACCTTTGGTCAAGTAGGAAGGAACCTTGTAAAGATGTGATAACTCACTTTGAAAATCAAAGAAACCAACCAACCAAGAGCCATTTAGATTTAGACTACCGTGAGAAAGAACATGCTACCACCAGAGTGACTTTCCAATGCCATCCCCCCATCATTGTTTCTCCCCTGCTTCCCATTTCCCTTCACTCTGAAAACACCATCATTCATAGCACAAGAAGCTCCCTCAATCACATGATAACTCCTGGTGACAGTTATAGCATTGCTTAAGCCCACTTCCTGATTTCCTTTAGACTGGATCTTATTTCTTTTCCTGGAGACCCAGATAGGCATGTTCCTTTGGCTGAATCTACTCTCTAATGTCTTGCTCTTTCCTGCCCCACCACCCACCTCAGGACAACTGCATCTGATTTCTGGGGCCCTCTCCCCACTCTTTAGAGGCAACAGCATGGGAATTCTGGGTTATGACTGCCTTTGGGTTCCAGGTGCGGTTCCTGGAGCAGCAGAACCAGGTGCTGGAGACCAAGTGGAGCCTCCTGCAGCAGTTGGATGTGAACAACTGCAAGAACAACCTGGAGCCCATGTACGAGGGCTACATCAGCACCCTGCGGAAGCAGCTGGAGACGCTGTCGGGGGACAGGGTGAGGCTGGACTCGGAGCTGAGGAACATGCAGGATTTGGTGGAGGACTACAAGAAGAGGTGAGTGGAGGGACAGAGAATATGCCCCTGGAAGGTCTTGATTACAGGTAAGGTTTTGATTTGGAGCCAGCGTTTTTGCCGTCTTTGATCTTTTGCTGGTCCCGTTGAAAATTTCCTTTCCCAGAATGGAGGGAGAAAGATTCAGATAGGTTGAGGCTTAGGATGAGAAAAAAGCTACCCAAGAATGGTGCTTCAAATTGCCTAGGAAATGGTGTGCACAATTTAAAAAGATTTTTAAAATTCTTACTCCAGGATATGTTGATTGATTTGAGAGAGAGAGGAAGGGGGGTTGGGGAGAGAGAGGGAGAAACATCAATGTGAGAAAAGCATTGATCAGTTACCTCCTGAACAACCTAGGTATGTGCCCTGACTAGGGATCGAACCTTTTGGTGTATGAGACAATACTCCAACCAACTGAGCCACCCAGCCAGGGCGTTATGCTCAATTCTTAACATTGGAAATGGAGGGATGGAAGGAAGAGAATTGTCTCAAAACCAGATGGACAACTCAAGTGGATTTATAGCTCCTCCTGAGTGAGGTTTTCCGTGGGAGAACATGAGACACCCCACCAATCTTAAAATAAATCTTAAAGCTAAGCACAAATGAGTTTTTAAAACATTTTTCATGATGAGGTGTACCTGTGCTGCTGAATGCCACCATTAAAGAGAATAATTGGTAATGTACTTGGAACCAGAGATCATTCCTACCACCCTCCTCCTGTCCAAGTTGAGACAATGAGGAGAGAGTGACACATCTGGGCTCAGTGTGAACTTATATTTGGGCAGTTTGCTCCCAGGTGCCAGGATTTCTGGGGATAGATGACTCTGCCACAATCCAAAGGGTGGAGATGGTCTCTTGTTCCAGTTTGATTGGCCTGCTCATCCCTATTCTGAAGGCACAGGGCGGAACTCTGGCCTGAGCCCTGCATGGAGATCCTGACAGAGGAGGTGACATGGTCCCTCACCTCCGAAAGCATACAGATTGTGAGGACAGGCTTAAAGAACAACTTCAGGTGGCTCCCAGTCAGTGGAAATGAATTCAGTGTGAGTTGAGATTGAGTGAAAGTAAGATGGGAATATTGGAGCCCCATGGAGGTTTGAGCAGGATTCTGGGAAGAAGAGTGTTGCCTGGCACAGCCCAGATGTCCAGGTAGGTCAGAGGCCTCCAGGGACTGCTCTCTGTGAGCCTTTCTGAGTGGAAAGGCCAGGGTTCCAGAATTACCACTCACTAGTTGAGTGACCATGAGTGGGTCCCTTGATCCTCTGTGAACTTCAGTTTTAATACTTATACAAATCAGATGCAGATACATGCCTTACCACCTACAAGAGCAGTTGAGAAGGAACAGCCAGATAGTATGGTATTAACAGTCCTCAAAAGAACCCAAGAGCTGGACAAACTCAAAATGGATAAAGGACTTACATATATACAAGTCATGATACCATAAAAGTTCTAATGGAAAACATAGTGAAATTTCAGACACTCCACATGGCAACATTTTTGCCAATATATCTCCTAGGGCAAGGGAAATATACGAAAGCCTTTTTCTAACTAGTGATGGGCACTTGGGCTGTTTCCAGATCATTCTGGGTTGAGTTATCCAAACAACACAATGTATTACTAATTTTCTTAAATAAACACTAAACATCAAAATGTAAAACATAATTGTTATATGAGTTGAATGGGGGAGATTTTTTCCCCAAGTGGTTTACCTATTTATGTATGAATATTGAATTGGACAGGATTCTAGTCCTATATTTTTTAAATTCTTATCTAAGTACTAAGAAACTTTGTTCACTCAAGTAGATTTTAATGGAAGGAGTTTTGCAAGAGCAGTGTTACTCAGTTCTTCGAGTACCTTTGCAGTTTTTCTACTTTTCCCCCCTTCCGTTGTACTTAACATTTTCTAACATACTGTGTAATTTACTTCTTTGTTATATTTATTGTTTCTCTGTTTCCCATGAAGTCAGGGTATTGGTTTTGTTCTCTGAGTTGTCCTCGGAGCCTGAAGAGCAGCCCACGTTCAGTGACTGTGTGTTAGAATCCCACCACGACTCCTTACTAGAGAGTGCCTCTTTAACACGCTGTCAGACGGCGACTCAGTTCCTTCCTGATCTTCGCTGAGTACAAAGATTGAAAAACACCTGGCTTGCAAAAACAGTTTGTTTCCTAGTCAATAAAGTAAGCTACCTTCCAAATTTCTGGGAAGTTTTTCAACATCACAGTTTCTCTGAGACAGGTCCAATGACTGCTGTTTATAATACAACACATTCTGTCCCTTAGGGCATCACTTCTAATCCAATAGATCAGAAAGGACTGGGAACATAAAAACATTGTTAGTGTTCATACACCTTGGCCAATTTTTTAAATTAAAAATAGTGTTTTAATCCACTTTTTATATATGTGTACACACACATACACACATTCCGCAAACTTCAGAGCTGCAGATTCAGCTTGTTCAGTTTACAGAAAACATCTACCATCTAGCTTAATGGGAAAACCGGATTTCCTTGTCAAACCTGAGAGTTGCTTTCTGTCAGAAAACATCTGATTTAATTTCCAAATTCAAATAAAAATGTAAGTACACATTTTGGGAACTATTATAAAATCCACTTGGCAAACAGCTAAGAAATACATCTTGTAAGTAGATTATTGAGAACATTCACAATTAAAATGATGTAGATTTAATGTAATTAATGTTTTATTGTTATTTTATTAAATAATCATCTATGTTCTAAAATAAGTCAATAGGTACTTTCTCATGGTTGAACTTTTAATTATGCATTATAATGTATTTTTTAAATTGTAAGTTATTTTATAAAGTCAATAGTACTACAAAATGCATTGTTTTTCTTTGTGTGTATGTGTGCATTGAACTCTAGTGTTTGGTTTCTACAAGTAAATAATGAAAAATTATTTATAACAAATGAATGCCTTTAATTTTGGTAGCCGTGATGACCAAAATTTTTCTATGCATTTTATGAGCTAGGAAGGTGTAACTCCTGAGAACTAAGTGGCCTACCACTAAATTCATATGCTTTTATTTCTATTAATAGGAGGAAGATAAGATGGAATGTTTTTAAAGATGAGATAAAGATTGATTGTAGTAGAAACAACTGTTTCTTAATATAATTTGATAAAAAGAAGTTTTCAATTACCTTTTGAATAACACACATGGAAGCTGAGATCAATCATATAATCTGTTTTCTGTATTTTATCCAGTGTTAACTAGAGAAATCTGGTAGTTTTCAGGAAATGTTTCGGTCTCATTCAATAACAGGTGCTACTTCGGCCATCCAACAAGGCTTTTTGCTCACTTGGCAGTCAGTGACATACATGCATTAGGAAGGAGTCGAAGCCAAAAGACTTGCTCATGTTAAAGTGTGTGGGGAAAAGGCCATTTTCTGGCTTTCATTTCTTTCCAATGTTCTGTTTTGTTTGTTTTCACAAATGTCCGGTGATACATTCTTTGACAATAGTAGGGATGAGATAGCGAGATCTGTCAGTGAACTGATCAATACTCTTACCTCCCCAGTTCACAACATGTCTTTGTTTAGAGCATCACACCCTACCCAAACACCTGTGTCCAAGACCTTGCTCATACATGTGTATAGGAAACAGGTATATACAGCTCAAAGCTGGGATAGTGTTCTGCCTGGTGGCTGTGAGGTTTTGCACACTGGGCTAATGCACAGTACTGAGATGACCGATGGAGGAGGGGTGCGTCTCTCTGCTGTCTCAGGGACCGGGACGTTGTCAAAGGGAGGTGGGAGAGTGGAACCCGTGTGGTGTCTCCCTCGCAGATGAATTCCCAGGCTGGTCCATTTCAGGGCAGTCTGCATATGACCTAAAGAGCTGGAAATGGATCACTTTAAATCTGTCCTTGTCACGTTCCCTTGAGGAAGGCTATGAATGCCCCGGGGGTACGTCCCAGTTTGTAGACCCCTGCTTTTGGCACAGAGGAGATCACTAACTGCTTGGTGAGCATCTGCAGAACCGAATGACCCCAATGGCCGTGTTCTCTGCTTTCTCTTGCCCCACCAGGTACGAGGTGGAGATTAACAGACGCACAGCTGCTGAGAATGAGTTTGTGGTGCTCAAGAAGGTAAGGGAAGCAGGAAGGGCTGGAGGAATCCTGGAGGCTCCCTGAGTACTTGGCTGAGGAAATGGATGCTCAGTCCCTTGGATAGGGGTGTCTGGGATTCTAATTTTCCAGCTCGTCTCTCCAAGTTCCTTGCATGATGCTCCCAGAATCTGTCAATTTAAAACCCAGGCATTTGCCACACTTCTGGTGCACCACCGCACTGCACACTCATTGGTTTGCTCTCAGGGATGGGGCCTTCTTGTGGAGCATGGGGCAAGGGGAGTGGAGATAATAGGGAACTTGAGGCTCCTTGTGGTGGGGGTGGGGTGCAGAGGAAGGGAGGGCAGCTGGCCACTCTCTGTTTTCCAGGATGTGGATACTGCCTACATGAACAAGGTTGAGCTCCAGGCCAAGGTAGACTCCTTGACAGATGAGATCAAATTCTTCAAGTGTCTCTATGAAGGGGTAAGAACCTCACTGACCTCCTTGTATGGTCTGCCCCTCTTACAAGTGGCTTCTGACCCTTGGCCCAGATGGTTGTATGGACCAAAGGCTGGCAGAGAAGCCTTTTAACCTTAGTGCATCTGAGGCCCTACTATGTGCTGAGTGATGAGGTGGGCTTTGAGGAAACCACGATGGAGAAAAAATGATTCCTACCCACCTGGAATTCACAGTCTCAGAGATCTGAGTTGTGTTAAAGTGTGAGGGGCCCAGGGAAGGGGAAGGTTGTTGGCAACTCCCTAGAGGGCTCTGTGTGCCACATAAGTTTAGACTTGATTGTATGGGTGAAGGGTGGCCGTTGCTGCAGAGTGTGGAGTAGGGGTGGGAACAGTCCTGAGTGCATAGTGGAGAGAGTGGTCCCACATGGACCGAAAGCCCAGTGTGTGTATCTCACACTCAGCAGGCACTGGCCCTGTTGGGCCCTGCTAAGGAAGGGTAGAAAGGGACAGAGAAGGTTTTACCAGGGAGGATCAGGAGATGGTCTCCCCTCATGGGGCATCTCTCACTGGCTCCACCCCCTGAACTGTCCCCCAGGAGATTGCTCAGATCCAGTCCCACATCAGTGACACATCTGTCATCCTGTCCATGGACAACAACCGGAACCTGGACCTGGACGGCATCATCGATGAGGTCCGTGCCCAGTACGAGGAGATCGCCCTGAAGAGCAAGGCTGAGGCTGAGGCCCTCTACCAGAGCAAGGTGAGCTGCATGCCAGGTGAGCTGAGGCCCAGTGACCCTAGCTGCTGCCCTCCTGTCACGTGGGCATGTGTGCATGTATTTGCATGTGTGTGTATATGGGGGGCCAGAGACCTCCTTCGTTCTGGAGTTGGGCCTTGTGGAGATGCCTCCCTGTGGACCAGGGAGACCGACCACAGTCTTGGCCTGCATCAGGGACATGTATGGAGCTTAGGCCTCCCCTGCCAGGGCCCTTGCTGACAGCAGAAGCCATACTAGCCACAGCTCCGACACCATTTCTATGGTTAATCCAGATGTGTTGCCTTTTCTTTTGGCTCCTAATTTTGTCAAAATAAGGACAAGGAATTTGAGCTCCACCAAGGCTCTCACATTTGAGAATGCAAGGATTCTGCTGAACTAGGTCAGGGCTTTTCTATCCAGAAGGAAAGAGTAATTTTCCTCCTTTTTCCTCTCCTTCCCTCCTGCCACCTCTTTCCCCTCCTCTCTCCTTCGATGTCTATGCTACTTTGAAAATGAGAACAGCATGTGCCCCCCACTCCACATCAAATACCCCTGAGACGTGAATGCTCAGCTGTCCTGTGCTCCCCTTCTCTTATCCCTCAACCCCAGATCCAGGAGCTGCAGGTCACAGCGGGCCAGCATGGGGACGACCTCAAACTCACCAAGGCTGAGATTTCAGAGATCAACCGGCTGATCCAGAGGATCCGCTCAGAGATAGGGAGTGTGAAGAAGCAGGTGGGTTCTATGCAATCAGTCAGCCAGCAGGGTTTATTGAGCACTAACCTGCATAGGACCAACTATGGAAAAGGGTCCCTGCTTTGGGTGTTTATAATTCATCAGCAGAGAACTGTCTGAGCTGGTGTGGAAGGGTGAATCATCCACCCAGTGTGCAGCATGCCCCCTAATTGCTGTGGGAGTCCCGAGGGGCTGGAGCTGCCTGCTGGAGTTGGGATTGTACTGGGATGGGAGGCAGAAAGGAGAGGGAGAGGGGCCCGGTGAGGGAGCCAGCAGGAGCAGTGGGCACGTGCACAGCATGTGTGCAGGGAGGAGAGGCCTGGACCCTGAGCAGAAGGTTTGTATGGGTGTGGTGGTGGGGATCAGGACAGCCCTGAGCAGGAAGAGGTGGATTACAGATGCTTCAATCCAGGCAGTGGGTTTCGACCCAATGCAGTAGGTAAAATGGAGATACTGGGATGTTTCACGTGATGACTCTGTACTGGAGGAAGCAGGGTCAGGCAGTGGGTTTTAGAGAACAGGGAAGAGCCTCCCACTCCAGTCTTGGTCCAGGGCTCTGCTCTGTGTTTGCCGGTCCCAGTTCCAAGGATGGGACATTGTTTTTTTTCTGGTTGGGCAGCTGGGTCCTAGGTGTCTCTGCTGAGACTGAGAGCCACTCACCCAAAAAGCTGTGGGTGTTTGCATGGCTGGGGATCTGCTTGACGGAGTGACACCAGCTGGACAACAGTCCAGAATTCCATGTGGCCTCAAGATCAGTTGCTCTCCTTGGGGTGAAGCAAATGTGACTCCAGAGGAAGGGGAAAGGGTCACACCAGAAAGAGAAGCCAGATTCATAGGTCCCACCAAAACCTCAGCCAGGTGACCAGAACACACACAGCCCCTGCCGCCGCCTCCACCTGCCCCCAGCATTCACACGGACGGACGCCACCTGCAGTTCCTTCCTGCACATGATGTTCCTGCTCCACAGCAGGTGTTTGTCAGCTTGTGAAACCTGTCTGTTATCTTTCGAGGCTGTTGCTGTGTAGCAAGATTGTGAAATTTTGGAGGTTAGACTCTTAGTGTGGCAGATTTATTGGACAGACATTTTATTAATAGGAACTTTAGTAGTCCTCAATTTTTTCCCCATGATTTACAGGATCTCCCAAGATGACCTTTACATTGTGAGGCAAAATTAGGATCAGCTACTCAGAGACTTTTCAGGGTGGGCATTAGAATCTTATAGCCCATGATATAGACCAGGAGGGAGACGGCAGGGCCAGGTGCCCAGGTGCCCACCTTCTCCGTGCCCTTCCCCTCCTCTTTCCCGTGGTGAGAATGCTCCACCTTCACATGCCACAGCACTGGTTAGGGTGAACCGTGCCTGAACCCTGGGGAAGGACAGGTTCTCCTCTAGTGACATCCAAAGGTGGAGAAACCAGGAGGACCTCGAAGCATTTATTATCAGTCAGAACCAAGTGAGGGGAGGTCATCCAAAAGGGATCTCAGAACTGGGCTCTGACTCAAAATGCTCAATTTGTCTGGCCCTCAGTGCTCCAACCTGGAGACGGCCATCGCTGATGCCGAGCAGCGGGGTGACTGTGCCCTGAAGGATGCCCGGGCCAAGCTGGACGAGCTGGAGGGCGCCCTGCACCAGGCCAAGGAGGAGCTGGGCCGGATGCTGAGGGAGTACCAGGAGCTCATGAGCCTGAAGCTGTCCCTGGACGTGGAGATCGCCACCTACCGCAAGCTGCTGGAGGGCGAGGAGTGCCGGTGAGGGCCAGACACCTTCTGTCTGGAGCAGTTATCTCTCCGAGTTAGTAGGAAGACTGAAAGCAAACAGTGTGGTTTAGTTCAAGTCTTACCGAGGTAAAACCTTATAGTAAAAGGCTTGACATGGTGCAGTGGGAGAGACCAAAGTTAGACAGCAAAAAGGACTGAGTTATAAAAAACATTCCAAAGAGGTGGCAGGAGAGGAAGTATTGCCACCAGAAACGTCTGAGAATCAGAGCATCACGTGGCCCTTTGTGAGGCTTTCTTCAGGAGGACGGGCAGGATGGCCTCTGAGAGTCATGCACTTTCAAGGTCGCTCTGGCAACGCTGAGGCCCGCTGAGGGTGTGAGCTCATTCCTCTGAATACCCTAAGACCAAGGGCATAACTAGAGGGAAGCGGAGGCACAATCAGCTCACACGTCAGATAATCCCAAAGCCCCTTTGATGGAGAGCTGACTCCTTGTAGCAGGGTTTTCATCTTGGTTCTCCTTTTCTCAAGAGGTGCTGCTGGGGTGTATGGGAGGAACAGAGGCCGGGATGGGGTGGAAGGTGGGGTGTTCTGAGAGAAGAGGCCCATTCACAGGAGACTCCCTGGATAGACAGGGTGATGGTTTACTGAAGGTTCACCTCTTTTTCCTCTCCCTCTTCAGGATGTCTGGTGAATATCCGAATTCCGTGAGCATCTGTAAGTACCTGTCAGGACCAGCTCTGCCTTTGGTCACCTACCACGAGTCTAAGTTCCTTTAATTCCATGACACCGAAAGATGTCAGAATACTAGAGTGGGTTCAGGGCAGACTTCGGGGCACAAAAAGGGAGCTGGCTTTAGTCACCAGGGGGAAGCAGTGGCTGGAGAAAAATAATAATATCATGAAATACAAAGTATAATCTGTAGAAAATCAAATGATATTCAACAGTGTATCATCTAAAGAGTCTATTGTATTGAATAACACTTAATGGCTACATTCTATTTCTACTGAGGCCACAGCCAAATAAAGGCCCTGAATCACAATAAGAGGTTATTGAGGGAAACCTGAAAGGGAAGCGATACACACGATGGCTGAAATTCCCTTCTCCAGACCTAAAGGCTAAATAGTGTTCAGGGAGGTGCTGTCTTACGAGAGGCAGGGACGCTCTGGCAGCCCCTGTCTTCAGTGGCAGCGGCACCTGAAGGCCCCATGATGCCTTTCTTCACGCGGCCCTACCCGTGGGGAGTCACTAATAGAGCCTGCAGAAGCTTGAAGTCAGATAGTGAGAGATTGGCACAGACTAATTGGAAAAGGTCGAACACATGGGGCCAAGCCCATCAGAAATGAGCGGTGCCCAGCAGAGAGAATCTGTCTGGATGTGAAGCCACCGCAGGGGAGAGAACTAAGGGAGTGGCAGGAGTGACGGGGCTGGGGTCTTCTCTCACCCATTCCAGCTGTCATCAGCAACACCGGAGCTGGGGCAGGAGGGGCTGGTTTCAGTGTTGGCTTTGGAGCCTCCAGCAGTTACAGCTACAAACCCGCGGTGGCAGACCTCAAAACCAAAGGCAGCTGTGGCAGCGAGTTCAAGGACCCCCTTACCAAATCCTCGGGCAGCTGCTGTGCGACCAAAAAGAAGGCCTCTAGATGAAGGGCGGAAGGCTGCAGACGCACCCATCTCCTCTCCTCCCCAGGGCCCCTTCCTGAGTCAGGAGGTGCTGCCCCTGTAACCGCACTCCCAGTCCCCTCCCCTCTCGCTGTTGTCCTCAGCTGGGTGACAGTCCTGTGCAGGAAGTCTGGGCAAGGGCGTGCTTGGCGACCTCCTCCTGGACCACCTGTCACTGGGCCACTGCCCCAAATGCAGAGATAAACCTCACGCTCAGCGTGGTTCCCTGCGGCCAGGTGCCAGCCCCTCTGTCCCCACATGTCTTTCTTGGGCCTTCGCCGCCAAGGGGCTCTCCTTGTCCTCTGGCTGGGGTCTTGGTCAGTTCTCTGCTTCCCCCACAATAAACACTCAATACTATTTGTTTCTCAGTGTCAGTCTGTTGCCCAAAATGTCAATATCTGCCCCGTCTAACTTCTACTGGTCTCACTCTTGCTTTCCTGTGAGTCCCTGGCCTGACACAGATCTTCACTGCCTGCTTCTGGCCGGATACACACAGGGTGACAGCTGCTCCTGGAAATGGCTGGGATTTGTTACTGACACGCACCTGGGCAGACTCAGGGCTCCCGTGTCCTGGGCCCTTATTCCCCACACTGGCCCCGTGAGAGGGGTGGCATCAGCCCTGCAACAGAGAGGATCACACCCCCAGGAGCAAGGAACCCAGTCATGGCAGGACTGTCAGACGTCCCAGCTTTGGCCTGGCTTCTCAGTCCAGTTCTCAGAAGTGCCCAGTGTCCCCCAGTAACTGCCTCTCATGGCTAGAGTGGTCAGTCCGTCTTCTTCTTCACTCCTTCACTCTCCTGCCAACCCACCTGCCAATCAGTCCTGCTCCCCCACAATGGCCCTGCTTTCTTCTTTCTGCCAATTCCTTTCCACCCTAAAGTTTGAGGCCTGCAGGTAAATATGCTATGGACACATGCTATGTATCTGTTATGTACATACAGTAGTAGCCCACTGAACAAATCCTCAGCGAGCTGGGCATTGCTCAGGCACCGGGATACCGCAGTATACAAACGGGTGCAGACCCTGTCCTCAGGGAGTGTACAGTCTGGTGGGGAATGTAAAAATAAGCAGCCAACAAAGGAATAAGTGATATGCTGGCAGTAGTGGTAACTGCTACGAAGGAAAGAAAGCTAAGTGAGATAAGAAGGGTGCTCTTTTAGTGTGTATGTTTCTACAACGGTGTTTGTTTTCTCAGAATCAGCGCAGTTTACTTGACTAAGGTGCTAAGGAGCAGAGTCCCCAAGGGTGAGATACCTTCTAAGGATGAGGTGGCATTCAAGGTGCCCAGGACCCCTTCTCTTTCCTTGTCATCCCCTGTCATTATTCTCCAGTCTTTCTCCAAGCAGGTCAGGACTTTTCACACTCACGGAACTTTGAAAATGTGATTTTTCAATTGCAGGAATCATGCCCCATTGATTGACAACCAGTATCCTCACTAATGAGGATACTGGGCTCAGAGGGCTTAAGTGACCCACTCAATGTTATGTGGCTAGTGAATGGCAGAACTAGGAGTTGAATCCCTGTCCAAACCCACAGTGCACACTTCCAGTCACTATACCTCATTACCTATCAAAGTTCTCACCTTAGAGGAGAGTTGAGAATGTGAAAAGGGATAATAGAAAAAATACAGTGCCTGGAATACAGTTTGCAGCCAATAGATGTTAGTTGCTATTATAATACTTGTTATTAATGCTTGTTTGTGAATCATGCCCCATTGATTGACAACCCCTTTGTGGCCCAGCTGAAGTGCCACCTCCCACTTTCATGCATTTTTCTGGTCCCTCCAGGTGGGCTCTATTAAGTCATCAGGCATTAAACGAGAAGGAGCGTTAGAGCTGCTGGCCCAGCAGCTCTCCCCGGCCCTTCACGTTTTGGGGAGCAAATGGAGTGGATAAGTGCTCTGCCCACATTCACAGCCCTTCCTACCCACAGCACCGTTCTCAACTGCATCACGATTGATGCTTTATTCTCCTGGTGTCATGTGAGCTGCACACACGTCTGTCCCCTCTTACCCCATCTTAGCCCCTTGTTCTGGGGTCCTCAAGCCTGGTGCACAGTCAGCACTCAGTAATTCGTGGCCTAGTCTAGCTCACCTTCACTGGGGAGAGAGAGCTCAAGGTACACGCATGTCCTGATGATTTGGCAGGCAAGACAAAACACATTTGGGTTAAAAAATTTGTGTTTTCTATGCATTCGCATGTAGGGAGTTTATGTAATTTATCGACCAAGCTGGAGTGCTTTTGTTCTGGACACACACTGCACTGGATCCCAGACAACAGGCAAAGCCAGGACCACCTCAGGCGGGTGCCCTGGGCCTAGCATGCCGGCTGAGCAGTCTTCGCCTGGCTTCGAATCCCGGCTCTTCTAACGGCTAGATGTGGCCTAGTGCAGGATTCTGCCCTTGTAAAATACGACTGATACAAGCTGGTCCTTACTGAGTGCTTCCTGTGTGCCACATACTGTTCTCAGCACTCATTCTTCTTTGTGCCTGACAACCCAATCAATGCGCCCAGTAACCTGATAGGGATTTTTGCTATTATAATAATGCACATCTCACTAATGAGGATACTGGGCTCAGAGGGCTTAAGTGACCCACTCAATGTTATGTGGCTAGTGAATGGCAGAACTAGGAGTTGAATCCCTGTCCAAATCCACAGTGCACACTTCCAGTCACTATACCTCATTACCTATCAAAGTTCTCACCTTAGAGGAGAGTTGAGAATGTGAAAAGGGATAATAGAAAAAATACAGTGCCTGGAATACAGTTTGCAGCCAATAGATGTTAGTTGCTATTATAATACTTGTTATTAATGCTTGTTTGTGAAGCCTTCTGTGCTTGCTGGCCATGCGCTGGGTCACGACCAGTGGATCCACAGCAGGACTGTGCCGAGAGACCCCGCTGAGGTGGGCCAAGTGCAGGGCAGAGGGCACTGGGTCTGTTCCTTGAGGCACATTCCCATCCAGTCACCAACAGCTTATAAGCAGGTAAAATAACTTCGAGGTGTGTGTATTTTGTGCATACACTGCCCTCTGCCATCAGATCCAGGTACTGCACCTTCTGTCTGTGTGACCCGGGAGACTTGCCCAAAATAAAGTGTGGGATGATCTTGGACAGGCTCTGTGCCCACCACAGAGCTGCCAGGTAGAGGAGAAGCTGTTTCGCTTCCTAGCATGCCCAGGCTAGTCCCAGCCTTCCTGTTGCCCAGGACCTGGCTCCCATCTCCTCTCCCTCTCCTCTCTGACCCCTCCTCTCCCAGGAGGCGGGTAGGGGTGGGGGTGCTGGTGCTGCTGCTATCTGAACCTCCTCGCCTCTAGTTAGAGAACTCAGGGACTTCAGAAAGCTCTTCCTTAATGGGCACCCAAGAACGTTGCTCTTGGTGTTGATCTGGAGGTCCTGGGAATGAGAACCTCCATCCTTCTTTAATACCTAACCCCCCAGCCCCACCTGCACCATGTAGAAAACCCTGCCCTGGCTGTAATGGGGTAGGAGGGCTCTAGCACACCTCTCTCTCTCTCTCTCTCTCTCTCTCTCTCTCTCTCTCTCTCTCTGTCTCTCTCTCTCTCTCTCTCTCTCTCTCTCTCTCTCTCTCTTCCTCTCCCTCTCCCTCTCTTTCTCTCCAGATAATCCAGGACTGGAGATGCTGACAAGGCACAGCCAAGGGGTTACAGAGAAAGGAAGAGATCAGAACTGAACACTTGCAATCTGGGAAGACTTCCTGGAGGAGGTGAAAGGGACATGAAGTAACCCTGTTTAAGGAAACACACTTGGCACTCGGCCAGTGAAGAGTCTGAATCCCATTGTTGGTTTGTTTCTTTTGTACATTATAGCCATGACTTGGGCACCCAGTCTCATTGTTCCTGCGTTTCCTCACTTGTAAAGTGGAAAAATAAGAGTATTTTCCTCGATCAATTGGTGTGAGAACGCAATGAGTTAAAATGTACAAAGCAAGCTCTCAACAAATGATCACTTCACGTCTACACCTGAGGCTTGACTTCGGGCTCGACTCCTACTCGATTCCAACCTCAGGCAAGCAGCTCTTCCCCCGTGGCATTCTCCTTGGCCCTCGCAGCCCATGTCCATTTCCGGAAGTTCTCCCCCACGTCTGCTGGTCCCTCGCAGCCCTCTCCTTCGGCTCTCTGTTATCACATGCAGCGCCTGCCCTTGCTCCACGCCGCCCCACTGTCTCTTTTCCTTCCTTGTTCACCAGTGTGCCCAGTCCCCTGTGTCCATGGGCTCACAACTACAGACTGCTTGTGTCCCAGTGTGCGTCACTCTCCCCCACTCTCTGATTCACAGCCAGTCTTCTGAACTGACAGCTGCATGTCTCACCTTATAGCCTGGCCACAAAGTCCCACTGGCCTCAGTGGGGGCCCGTGACACTGGAGATTGGGACTTGGTCTGCAGGCCTCCTTCTCTGCAGGGAAGGTGGACAGGACTTTTCAAAGGGGCTGGACTATGGTCTCTGCTCCGGGTGGAGGAGCTTTCACTCTGACCCCAGCCTCAGGTGCCAGCACTGAGCATCACCGAAGCCCCAACGGCCCAAGCCCCTTCATCCATGGCAGGCTTGCGCCCCGAGGGTGGTGCTCAGGGCCCCTCGGCACAGCAGCGAGGAGGTTCCTTGAAGTCAGTAGGTAGCTCATTCCTTCCCTCCACACAGGCAGAGTCAGGGCTCCACCCAGAGCCCCTCCCTCCAGCCCCTGGGTGGGCTCATCCTCCACCCTTTCTGCATTTTAGCCCTTCCCCTGGGGACAAACCCATCCCTCCTCACTGACCCAGTCTTTTCTAGTTCCTTTTTCCTAAAATACTTATTTTTAAAATATATCTTTCTCCATGTCCTACTTTACATTTTTCCTCCCTTTTTACATTTCCTGTTTACATTTACAGTTTTTGCCTTGCCTGTGGTGATCCAGGCCCTTTAGTGTTTCTGCCCTGCCTGGATGTGTAAGTTCCCCTCCCTACTCTGTCCCCAGGGTCTAGAAGGCTC